AGTGTAAGCTGGGAGTTGTCACTTCGAACACAAGTGTGCTACATTATGCCGGCACTTCCTCTTCTCATTATTTCTTCTTCTGTATGTCCTCCGGGACAGTACATCTCTGTCTCCGGCTGCCATCTTTACTGTTTCGTCTCCTTCTTCCTTTGATCTGTTTCTGCTCTCGCAGTGTCGCTCGCTGTGCAAGTGTGCCAACTCCGGCTGCAGCCTCGTTGTATTGAGCATCACACTCAAGACTTGAGGAAACAAAGCGAGCAAGCCATCCTCGCAAATAGTACGGTCAATGGGCGGCACATAAAATCGGACAAGTGGCTGGAGAAGCCTTCGAGTTTGGATCAACTACACCGGGAGTGCTCGCGGCAGCACAGAGCGAGCTCATGCTGTCGCCTCAGCTCGGAAGCTGGGCAAATACACGAAGCAGCAACACCACTGAGGATGTTGCCAGATGCCTCCCTGCCAGCCGGCAACGCAAAAAATTGTCGAGACGACCTGTGCATCGCACCGCAACAGTCTCGTTTCATGAGATTGAGGATGCCGGCGCCACCCGCATGTTCATAATCCCAGACTAAATACCGATGCGATTGCCGAGGCTGAAGTGCAAGCCTTCGGAAGCCCAACTTTTGCATTTTGACGGATTTAATGAGACTCCACAGCAAAGCCTGCAATACCTGAATGCGTGCCCCATCAATGCTCAACGCTCATCAGGTCTCATGCGGCAGCTGCACTGGCAGGCAATCGACTTGATCGTCTGTCGAGCGACTGCTTGGAGATCTGAGTGGAGCCAGGAAGCTCTACCAGCCTCAGAGTGAGCATGAATGAACCACGTTGACGTGTTTGTTGTGACAGCATGCCTCAGGAGAAGGCTCAGAGCACTGACAAGCTGATGTCCCCGATGCCTCGCACAGCAATCACCAGCCGTGCATGTTCTCCCAGTGGAGTATGCACAGTGCCGTGGTGACTCCAGGGCGTAACTTCATTTGGCAGCGTTCGGTGTTGCCTCGTCCCTTCTCTGCTGCACTGCTGTCTTTGGTACAATGCCTGCTAGACTGTGTGAAGCCGCAATACCTGCACTATTTTTCAGGGCAGCAGAAACCTCAGTTGTACAGTGATGCGGTAGAGTAGGGCTACGAGTGGCTAGCATCATCCATTCACAATTCCACTGGCCAAAATCAACTTAGGCTTAACCCTGAACTTGCAACAGGCCACGAGTGTGAGAGGAAACATCTTATGGCATGCTCGTAATGACGTTGCCGCCTCCGCCACACAAGTCTGCAATCTTTTTTGGCCCTCTGGCTCCCTGGACCTGTCAAACGCCAAGCGTTGTGCTCGTGTGCACATTCTTCATCGCACGCTTCATGACTGTGTGCAGGGACAAGCAGTCGTGCAAGTCGGGCCTTGAGATGTACATGCGAAACTCTTCGAAGGATCGGCTTGGAATGGCCTTGGCCTCACACAAAAATAGCCAAAGACAGCGGCGGCACGATGCTGCCGGCCCCGGCCCTGCCGGCCTTCCAAGCGAGGATCCCGTGGTCAGAAGTCAACATTTCGCGTGTCTCATCATCCTCGCAGATGGATTACAGCCTTATACATTACACGGAAACGAACGTATACCGTATACCCTCTACAGGTCCTCCTCACCCTTTGACACGAGCAGGCCGACTGCATCGCCTGTTCCAGTGGTCCGAATCTGTACAGATGTGCAGACAGTGCAAATTTTGAACACCAACTTGCCAACTTCAGCGACGACAGCGAACACAACAACGTCGGACATGTCATGTCCAAGCTCAGTGAGACGGGATGACGGGGACAACGGCATGCGAGACAAATGCAAAACTCCACTTGCATGCTCCGATAGCACGAAGACATTTCATTGCATGCGACGACCTTCGGCCTTCCCTGGGTCGAGCCCGTGGAAGACTGCTGTATCAACGAATGGACTTGCCATGACAGATTCTCTTCACCGTGGCCTTAGCCTTAGCCCCGTCCTGAAACTCAAGTACTAGCCACACTGACAAAGCCTCACGTCGTCATTGGGTGGAAGGTTATGTTTGATCTAAGTGAATTGACGCACGAATGTGTCAAACGAACCTTACTGGTCCGCCTGTAGGGCTGGGCGAGCAACTGGACAGAAAGGTCCCCCGGATCGCTCAGCTGCCATCCATGTACCACCGGCGTGGGCTGTTGAAAGCCTCGTTTCCACCAACCAACCGACAAAACTCCCACCCACCCACGCACCCCCGCCCAGAATCACCCACGTGCCACAGCACGATGCCGACATTGCCTGCAGCTGCACCTTCAGTTACGACCCCGCGCACAGCGATGTGCAGCACCTGCGGCCAGCGCTGTTGTGATTCCATGCCCATGATTCAGCACTCTTGGCTCAGCATGGATGCTCGGCTCCTTCCCATGGCTGCCGGTCAGGCCACGATTGGTGATCCTGAAGACGGGTGAAATTGGCGGCAGCACATGCACCACAAGGAGTGTCTCCAAGTCTGAAAAGTCTTCCCATGCTTGAGGCGGGAATGGTTTTGACAGTAAATAGAGAAACATTGAAAGTTCTCAGTGTTGCTTGCTGTCAACAGTTTTTGGATACCGGATGGTCGTTGTTGATTCCTTTCGAGTTTTCTGAGCATGACTCCTCGCTCACTTAGGCTCACTTATCAATCTGTCATTGTGGGCAAGCCACTAGCCGGCATTGTTGGCATGATAGACCAACCGTGACCGAGCTGGTAGTTCCCATTTTCACGTCTTGGCATAAAACTGCGAGGCACAGCTTTGTCAATTTTAATGTCTTGAATGCAACATAGGCAGCACTACTGCAATGCTTAGCCTCAACTCACGGGATCTCCTGAGCTTTAGGAGATGGTGTGGAGGGCCTCCTGGAAGAGCAGAAAGGTCGGCACCTTTGCGCGGCGAATTTTGCTTTAGAAGCACCTGCGAACACTGCGCAAAAGCTGTCAGGTGCCTGATGGCGGAAGTGGCTGCTGAACCTTTGTGCCGCAAACTTCGTGCATGATCCGTTCGCAGGTTGCTGCAAGAAGGGTGGACTGTGGCCGGTACCCATTCAGTGCCCAACTCCATCCCAGCCTTGCCGACCACGTACCTTCTTGACATCATCTCTGAGGCATGCGGCCCGCGCTTAACTTGGCTCACAAAGCACGGTCGAAGTTGCGGGTATCAATGCCGTCGATCTGAGATGATGGAGGCCAGAAGCCCCCACTTTCAGGTCCCACCTGAGCAGCGGTCGATTGTATCTGGGGACCCATCATAAACTTGAACGTCGCAACACGTTGCAGGCTGTCGTGGCAGTGGACCTCTGGAGACATCGAGATGATGTGCCTCGGCTGCACCCCTGCACGATTCGCCTACGAAAGATTGGAACTCCGAAAAGGCGTGGTGGGATGCTGTCATGATACCTCGCTGAGTACATCCAATCGTCGGACTCCCCGGAAGTGGTGTAGCCCTGGGTGTGGTCAAGTCGTTCGCAAGCTTGCAGCAGTTTGACCGTATTGTAGTCCTCTGGGGTCTGTGCCACGGTCTTAATCGCGGGCCCGAACTTCTTGTAACCTGAGTGAGACGAGCCAATTGCGCCGACATTCGAACGACTTGCACTCGCAGAGCTTTTTTCTCCACTGAAGAACATGTCTGAATGCTGGAAAATTCGGAGATGATGTGACATGAGTTGTGACATGATGTGCCCAGGTGTGGGGCACTGAATGCTGCCGAGTGTACATTTGGGTAACTGTAAAAGTCTTGTTCCCTTTGACTTTGGGAAACCTATATATGTTTCTACGTACTCTGAATACGGCACCTTATAGTTTGGAAACCCGAAAGGAACCCTCGTCTTGACAACCACCCAGTTGGCAGCTGAGCTACAATGTCTGCGTAAGCTGCTGCAACCAACCTTATCGATGCATATTTGCCGCTGTTGCGGTGCAATTCGTGAAAAAGATTGGAACTCCAAGAGTATGACGCTCATGCTCGCACCATCTCGCACCATGGTCAGTTTTGACGGGGGCCGACGGCTACCGCGACATGCAACTTGGCTGCCCGCAGTTCTCAGAAATCTCTTGGAGTTGCCATAGGCGAAAGCTTGTGATGTTCGCAATTCATAGATTTGCTTACATCCGTTGACTATATAGGTTTTGTTGGAGAAGCTTGCAATTCTGCCTCGGCACGAGTCGCCGAAATCATAGTGGCATCAGCTCGAGACGAACAACTGCAGGCAGTCTCATGCAACGTACCTTACTTCTCATCTGCACGACTGTAGGTTTTACCACTGCTTTGGACCTTCTTTGGTACAATGCGTCGAAGCCCGATAAATCGCATAGACGGATTTTGGTCGAGAGAAGCAGAAAGGGATAAATGCAGCTGGGTACTGAGAGTCACCACAGCTTGAAAGGCAGCCCTCAATTCCTTCATCAGGGTATGTCGCTGTTCAAGCATTCACCAGTGGGCATGATGGAGCATGTCTCAACATGAGTCTGCCCACCCATGCCATTTGTATCGGAACATATGAATTACTCTTGCCTCTATCCCGGGTGCATGAAAAACATGCAAAAAGGCCTCCCGTGCCTCATGTGCTGCTGTTACTGCATTTGAAGCCAGAAGTCTGAGTTTGAAGCCGGCTTCAACGAGGCTTCAAACGCAAATCCCCGATACTGGGACGGCGCTAAAAGCTGCGGAACATGTCACTCCTTGTCGAGGTCCCTTCATCACGGATTTCTGGCTGCGTTTGTGCAGAGTAGTCGAGCGGCGCAGCTGCTCTGCTAT